CAGAAAACCAGCTCTAACAGTGAGAGGGGTGATGTCTGGAGTCTCATCTTCCATTCCTCACACACTCATGCTTCTTTCCCTTCCGGTCACCCTGAAACCATTGGGGGAGAGGGGTTCCCAGGAGGAAACTCTTCTCCATAACAACAACAACAATAAAGACAAAACCCAGCAGCTAGTGTTGAAGAATCAGGTCTACATTTTCAAAAACAGCTAGAGATTGGGGGTATCTCCATTTTGGATGTTCAATTTAGGGGTCAGATTTTCACTGGGTGTGTGCTCAGCGCAGATTTTTGAAAATCAGATCCTTCTAAACTGTTCCAAGTTAAGCACCTAGATCACTAGTTCCTATCATCCTATCAGCAGCAGAGTAAACACCACGTCCTAGAAGTCAGGAAAAGTCTCTGTTATAACAGGCGTAATACCATCCTAGATGTAATATACTGTGCTTTAGGTAAGGTATCTGACTTAGTACTGCAGGACATTCTGATTAAAAATGCTAGCACTTTATAATGTCAATAAATACCAATGAAATGGAGTAAGAACTGTCTGACAGATCTCAAAATATAGTCATCAGTGGAAATCACCCTTAAATGGGGGTATTTCTAGTGAGGTTCTGCAGATATCAGTACAAAGCCTGATGCTAGTCAACATTTTCATCAGCAGTAAATAAAAAATCACTGCTGATAAAATTTGTGATGACGCAAAGATGCCCAAGAGGTCAATAACAATGAGGACCTGGACATAGTACAGGGCAATCTGGATCATTTGGTACATTACCTTGGGCTGATGCAAGCAAAATGTAAAGTTAAAAATCTAGGAAAAAGGAAATAGGCCATACCTTCAGGCTTGGGGACTGTGTCCTGGAAAGTAGTGGCTTTGAAAGGGCTTTAATGGCCATAGCGGATGAGCACTTGGATATGAACTCTCAGCACTGCGCTCTGGCAACAAGAGCTAATGTACTTTTTGGCTGTGTAAACAGCAGGATTGTATGTTGTCCCGGAGAATTGATTTCATACCTGCGTGGGGCGCTTGGTGAAAGTGATACTGAAATATGTACGGTTCTGGTGTCCACATTTTTAGAAGGATGATGAAAAATTGGAGAGGGTGCAGAGAGGAGCCACAAAAATGATTAGAGAGCTGGAGAAAACGTCTGATAGCAAGAGACTTCAAGAGCTCAATCTGTCTAGTTTGTCCATAAGAAAACTGAGAGGTGATTGCACTGCATAAGTACCATCACGAGGAGAAAAGACTGGGCACTGCAGGGCTTTTTAACCTAGCAGAGAAAGGCATATCAAGAACCAGTAGTGGAAAGCCGAAGCCAGACAATTCAACTGGAAATAAGTCTATCTAAGAGGTTGATCAGTCAAGGAAAGAGGTGGATTCTCCATCTCTTGACCTCTTCAAGGCTGGAGGCCTTTCTGGCAGCATGATGTAGTGACAAGATATTGGGGTCCATAAAGATCTGACTGGGTGAAGTTTATACAGCTCAGATTTGATGACTTGATGCCCCCCTCTGTCCTTACACGCTAGAAAACTCTGAACGGTCTTTCTCTAATCTGCCAGTCTCATTTAGGAGATGCCTTCTGTTAAAGTGCCCTAAAACTCTCCGGTCTCACCCGAGTGCTGCTTTCAGGTCTGATTTTGCAAGGTTCTGAAAACTTCCCACAAGATGTTGCTTGTCCTTCACTCTCCCTGACCTCAATGACACTCACGACCTTGCAGGACTGGGCCAGCTATCTTCAGTGTTTCCTCGCATAGTATATGTGGCATGTTCACGTTGTAACAGAAACCCCACTAGAAGAAGGTCATCCAGTTACAGATATGATGATTATATTTATGTACTTGTGTTCGAGTTTTTTACTAGGAAAATAATAATGCAACGCTATTTGCATGATCTCTTCTTTGAGGCCAGTAAAGGAAAAAGACAATCATATTTGACACAAGAATCTTTTGCAATGGTCCATATTAATTTCTTGAATGTTTTTTTCATTTCATCTTGTACAACCTATTTAAGTGAAAGGAAAATATAATACTACAAAAGACACATTTTGGAGGAACAACAAAAAAAGAAAATCTTCCCATGAGCCTGGTTTAGCTAAAAGTACACTGCTGGGGCTCTGCACAGCCGCTCCTTGGATTAGAGATTTTGTCTGTGGTCTTTTCACACAATGGTTTTTTTTTTTTGGAAATTGTCATTCCATCCAATTAACTTTTCTGCATCTTTGAAGCTCGGCCAATATCAGTGAGACTCCGCCACCTCTCTGGGAAGCCCCACATGATAGCACCAAAGTCATGCCGGGTAACAAAACTCCTTTTGTTGTCGCAAAAAGAAGTTGGGAGGATCTGAGGGTCCTTGAGCTGGGAGGGCCAGCTTGGTTTTCCAGTGATTGGACTGCTTGCTGCCTGACTAGTCGTTGGAGGGGTTGTTTGGTTGTTTTTAAATGGTCCATTTGTCATATGCATACATTTAATTGCCGCCGCTTTGTAAATGTTAATGTTCTTTCTCTCTTATTTGCGGTGTGGTTGTTTAGAAGGTAATATTTTCATTGCTATTTTTTCTGTGTAGAAAGTGTTTCACTGCTGTGCATTCAAGAAAATAACTGAAACATGTCGAGAAAGATTTAGTAAGTTAACGTCCTCTCTGTTGTCCCAAAGACTAGATTCCCAAGAGCAAATCTGATTAGAGTGGGCATTCAAGGCAGAGGGGTTATCAGCTGTTCTGGAGGCTGTAGTGAATTCCTTGAGGAGTTTGGGGTTAGACTCTGGAAGCATTCCTTCCTGGGAGTAAACAGGAAATTCACTACCTGTGTATATGTGTGTGTCGCATTCAGAGCTGAATGCTTAGATAGGGTCCCACAGACTGAGATGGAAATAGGTCAGTCAGTCGCTTCAGTGCTCCTTCTGTGTTCCTTGCATGACAGCTCTGATGCTCTAAATAGCTGTTTGAAGACAGAATGGGGTTTCATTTAGAAGAAAGAACAAAAAAAATGTGAAAGGGGAGCTTGTTGGTTGTTGTCTTGGCTAGTTTGGGTGCTTATGTGTCCCATTCTCTCAATTAACCCTCATCCTTTCTCCTTGGGACACTGTGTGGTACAGATGAATGATGAACACTCTTCAGATCTTTCAGATACACAATTTGAAAGATACACAAAAATAGCAAAAAAATAACAAAAAACCTCTTCTGTGTACAAAACTGGGCTAGAAATCATTTTGAGGACAGGGTTTCCCCTCAGGATTTCTAGTATTTTCAAAATTTGAAAGAGTTTGTAGGCGAGACAGTGAGTTAATATCTTCAGGTGTTCACAGGTTTTTACAGTCCATACACACTATTCAAAGTGAAGTAAGACAACTTCAGTTTACATAAGACCTGGAATGACATCCAATTGGTGCTTTCTCTTACGTATTAGCAGCCAGTTCATTAAAGGTAACTGGGCTCCACATCTAAATAACAGGCCCGATCCTCACTCGGTGATAATTGGCATGGCTCCATTGTTGTCAGGGTGTAAGAGACTGTATCAGTACAGCTACGGTGGTTGATGGTTCTGGCCCCCTGTTTGTTGTTGTTGAATTACCTGAGAGGAAGTTAGTGTCAGAGTCCAGTTCTGGCTAAGGTACTGCCATAGTTAGTTGATGTGGCTCCTTATTAGCCTTTGAAGTATTGCTGAGAGTATGGGAATTGCTCCAGAAGAGTAAACCAATGACCGTTTTTGATAGATGTCCTACCTCTGATGGGACTTACGTTAGTCTACTTCCTCAGTTGTTGAACAATGCCAAAGTATCTCTTCGTTGTTGTGCTTTATTTTTCCTCTGACGTTAGAAACTGTCTTTCTTTTTAAGGTTGAAGTATTTCCAAAGAAGTTTGGCTATTCCCTATGAGTTCTCCTGAATATGTATGAATTTCTCCCAAGGATGAATACTGTGATTTGAACGTGTGCATGCAACTTTACATAGGGGCAAAATATTATCAGTGACCTCAAAATGGAAAGGAAAAAACCAACCCTGTGCAAGACTGGAAAGAAAATCTCTTGCATAAGAACGGCCATACCAAAGGTCCATCTAGCCCAATATCTTGTCTGCCGACAGTGGCCAATGCCAGATGCTCCAGAGGAGTGAACAGAACAGATAATTGTTAAATGAGTCCTCCCCTGTCACTCATATCCAGCCTCTGGCAAACAGAGGCTAGGGACACCATTCCTACCCATTCTGGCTAATAAGTATTGATGGACTTAACCTCCATGAATGTGCTTGTTTCTTTTTCTACTTATCATGTCCGTTCATGGCAATTTCATGGTATCACCACAGAAACTATTAAATGTGGGATTTGGATTTGACCAGATACTAGAGAAACACCCAGAAACCAAACTTTTGGAAAATGATCATTGAGAAAACTTTCAAAAGTTTGGATATTTCTCTAAAATCTATCTGATCAGGCACTCTGAGCCCATAGTAAGAAATAAAGGAGAAGAGAAAGAGAGAACAGAGATCATTAGGCAGGAGATCTAATGAGAGTGTTTTCTCTCAAAAGTGTCTGTGTTTGCCAGTGTCTAGCAGGGGAGGATCAATGTAAGCCAAGCTTTGTGTCCAATGGGATCTTGATCTTGATTAAACGTGCAGAGGTGAATGAAAATAAAGGGTCAGTTTCTCTTTGGCCATTCCTTTTAGCTAACCACTATAGACACAGAAGCCATTGCATGTGAGCACTGCAGTAGTTAAAACCATGGAATCACAAAGTCTTACACAACATGCTGGGTGTTGTGTGTTCTATGCCTATCAGAGCATGTGCCTTGTGACAGCTCTGAGAATACCAATGCTATAAAGCCGCATCCCCAGCCTGCAATTCCAAAGGAGGAGGTGGGGCAGGATAGCAAAGCTATGAAAATAACAGGAAATTTGGAGAGAGACATTCTTGTTTTCTTTGAGAATAGTCCCAATTATAGTTCCAATTGCCTCAGTTAAGCTGCTTTCAGCTCTCAATGATATGCTTGAGTATTGTTCATTACCAGGAAGCAGCTTCCAATAGTCTTGAAAGAGGGAAAAAAGTTGATAATTGGCCTTTTTCCACTTTACATCTCTCTCTGAACCTGTGTCTGATAGTCATCCTGTCAAACCTGTCAAGAGAAGTGAAAAGCAAACAGCCTTTTTAGCCCAAATAATATACTGTAAGGTTTCTAGTCAGACTCTAGCATTGCTTTTCTGAGGATGGGGATGGGTCTGTAGTATTTTGGTCAGATAGGACTCTTTTTGGGTTTATGCATTTTTTCCTGGTTAAGCTGATGTGCTGGAACAGAGGGATAAAGATCAATGGTAATTTGTTTTTTAGCTTGGCTAGAATTCTCTGACCTACTCTAGGCCAGGCTGTGAATATGTGTCAGAGGTAACTTTACTAGCCAGGCATTTTTAGCTACCTTATGTTTATGTAAGGTACACTGCACCTGTAGCTCACAATAAGCTATGCAATTTGAGTTATGCAAATTGCATAGCTTATTTTGAGTCAATTTCAAGATAGCTTATTTCAAAATTTGGTGCTTTCTACACAGCACTTTTTTCAAAATAAATCACTATTCTGAAACGTCCGTTAGTCCTCATGGAATCAGGTTTACTGGGACGTTGGAATAGAGAGCCCGTTATATTTCGAAATAATGGACACGCTCAAAAGTCGTGGAATAGCTATTTCAGGATACCTCCGGTATCCCAAAACAGTCCTGTAGTGTAGAAATAGCCTTAGTGAATATTGTTCACCTGTTTTTCTGGTTTTGTAATGAACCACAGGCAAACCTCAATAAGTTTGGAGTTGGAGTGCAGTTCAGATAAGCAAAGTTTATGCATAGATCACGTAGTTTGTACAAATACCTTGGATCTGAAAAAGTCAAATGGGAATCTCATGAGGACATACGATATGGACAGATATGTAAATTCCAGATCTGGCTGTCCTTACCTCAGCTATGCTGGTATTTCTGCTTCTTTGCCTAGGCATAGCCCAGAAGTATAGAGGGATTTTGGCCACGAAGAATAACCAAATATTTTGCTACTTCTTCTAGGGGTGGAGATTACTTTTTTGAGGAGAAGCACAATAGTAGGAATTAGCAATCATGGATTTTATTTTGGGCTCTGCCAAGGACTTCCAACTGGATCTGGGGCAATTCATTCAACTTGTCTATACTTCTCACATTTCTCATTTGTAAAGTGCAACTAATGCTAGTCACCTAACTCACTGAAGTATTGTAAGGTGTATTTAATTTAAGGTTTTCTCCTTAGATGGAAAACATCATAGGTGCCCAATCCAACTCCCATTAAAAATAATGGAGACTCCAATCGACTTCATGGGATCAGGTCCTGGAAGTAAAAGGTTTATTTTTGACCTTGCAAAAAAGTTTGGTTCTAGAAAATGGCAGTCTTAGTGAGATTTTATACCAGTGGATCCACCCTAAAGTATAAATTGCATGGAATGTTGAAAAGGTAATCTTGAAATCTGATTGGCAGCTTTTACTGAATATTAATTGCCTGGAGATGATCTAAATGGCTGCATCATCCAATGGTCAATTATGATAAGATGAATTCATCTTGGGTGATCTGGGTATGGGTGACCTGAGAAGACACATCACGTCAGTGACTCCTTGATAAAAACATGTATCTCCATTTGGGCATGTGGGTGGAGTGATCTGAGAGAGAAGTGGTGTGAGTGCCTGACTGACTCCCCACTTCAGGATTTGGTTCAGTCCAATTTCCTGTTGGGATAAATCAGGCCATTCATGACTAATTCAAATACCTGTCTCCATTTCTCCCCTCCCCCCCAACACACACACACATGCAGTTTCTTTGTTAGAACAAGGGTTTTTTTGGCTTAGCCAGAGCCATATGGCTTTTCTATTTGTGTAACAAACAAAGAAAACATCATTTTGCTTCAAAATTTTGGTTGCACCTGTTGTTCAAAAACCAAAACTTTCAATCCTGCTCCTAAATGGGCACTATTTTCAGCAGTTTCCTTGGAGACTTAATGACACCATTCAAAAACGTTCACCCATGGCAAACTGTGATTACTTATGAATGATTTCAAATGTCTGGCCAGTTAGCTTATCTTCATATATTTTTTCATCACTTTGCATTGTGTTAAATAATATTACAATATGCATAATATTATACCATGCATTCACCTACAGTATTTTGCTCATTTGCACTTCCCCTCTTAAACTTTCTTTGGTATATTGATGGGAAATGTGACTGGGAAATACAACATGTTCTTTTTTTATGATGGTGATGCATTTTTTTTGTCTGGAGAGGAACATTTGAAGTGCTCTCTCTCTCTCTCTCTCTCTCTCTCTCTCTCATACACACACACATGTTCTGGTATGTTCTTATAATATCAGTATAGATTATTGCAGAACCTGACTTGTGTTACAGACCCAGTAATCAGGAATCATACAACTCACTCTTATTTGATTCCTGTGCAACAATGACAATGTACTGTTACACTGTTTTTTCCAACCAGCTTTGTCAGGTATAGCTCAAGATCTCATGTGGTGTTCTCCCTTATTGCTTTATACATTTTACCCTGGGGTGAAATTGCTTGTTTCATCTATCTGTCATTCTATTACTGTTGGAGTCTATGGTATGTTTAGATGCTCACTGAAAACAGCTGGAGTAAATGGCAGAAGACTGCTGAGTCCTACGTTAGAACAAAATGTAGGTTTGTGTAACAGGTAACTTGCAAAGCATGCAGAAAGTTGGCTTACTTTCACAAGTAACTGGGAAAAAATTATCTCGCTCCCCCTGAACCGTCATCTACTTTGTCATCATTACTAACCCTGTTGCCAAACCCTTTTTCCCAGCTTTGAAATCTGGCTGGAATTAAGTGGCTTCTGGAATTTGACAATGCAACATTTTGATGCATGTGTTTGTCACATCCTGATTAGATTGGTATAACTTTTGCTCCCTTAGGTCCTCCTCAAAACTCAATTCATAAACCACAGTTGCATACAAGATGCTACCGATAGGGTGATGAAACTGTCAGAGAAATTCAATGATACCATACACATCTTATCCATTTCCCACTGGCTTCCAGTCTGAATGGAGGTTGGATTTCCTAGTTCTTTAGGGCTGGTTTTATTGTAGGAGATGGAGGGTGGGCAGGCTATTATCTATTCTGGTGTTTGATTAGAATTTTCTTTCAGACTGGAGAGAGGCGTTTTCTATCTCTATGAGTATGTCTAGATTACATGCCTCTGCTGACAAAGGCATGTAAAATAGGCTACCCAACATAGTCAATGAAGCGGGGATTTAAATATCCCTGGTTTCATTGAAATAAAAATGGCCGCCGTGCTGTGCCGGGTCAGCTGTATGTTGGCACAACACGGCAGTCAAGACGCGGATTGGTCGACAGGGGAAGCCTTTGTCGACCGCTCCTGTAAACCTCATTCCACAAGGCATAGGAGAGCAGTCAACAAAGGCTTCCCCTGTATTTTTCCCCAGCTCTTTCATGCACAAAGGCATTCTGGGTGTGATGCAGTGGCCATGGAAGTTAATGGTAGTCTTTCATATTTTAGCCTCCATGTCTTGCACTCAGAAGTGATGCCTGTATGGAGGAACTGCTTGGTTTCCAAGAATGTCTTTTTGGCATAATCCCCACTATGCTGATATTCCAGGTGCAGACACTTCAGTTGTCCTAAGAGCAGGTAGGCCAACTTTTGCTGCTTCATGATGCATCTCCATATTCTTGGGTGGTGGGATTAAGGGTGCCTTCTGACTTCTTTTTCTGGTTTGATTTGTGATGTTCCAATGGGAATGCCCCAACAAAGGTACATCAGGTCAAGAGAGTGGACTTCTGACTGTTTTATGGGACTGGGGCACTGAAAACAAACCTAAATATAACAAGAACCAGCACGTTCGGTATAATCTGCAGGAGAAAGAGGTCATCAGATGTCAGCCAGAGAGATGGAGCTTCTTAACATTGTCTAACTACAGTTTGCACAAGTATGCATAAGTGTTTCAAATGGAAGGAAAGGCTCTTAGAATCATAGAATCCCAGGGCTGGAAGAGACCTCAGGAGGTCATCAAGTCCCACCCCCTGCCCAAAGCAAGACCAATCCCAACTCAATCAACCCATTAGGAAACTTAAGACACACTCACTGGAACAGGTGCCCTCTACATGTCCAGCAGGGTCATTGTGACCTCGTGTCATCTTTCAAAAGAAGATGTCCAGGCACGGGAAAGCCATTTCAGACAAGCGCTCCGACAATGTTTCTCATCGCATTTCAGCTCTCAGCTCCGTTCCTGCCAGGAAATGGGAAAGGCAGTTGTTCATGAAAAGTAATGAGAGGGGAAATGTAAAGTGCAATCAGATATTTCAGAGCCATAACGATGGGTTGATGCAATGTACGTGATAATTATTAGGCGGTTTTTCATTTTCCAGAGCAGTTCTCCCATTTGTAATTTTCCCATGGAGGCAGATTTTAAAATGGCATGTTTGCTGTCAAGGGGGATCTACATTTGATCAGGGTGGGGGTGGATTGGTGGCTTATTTTAACAATTTAGGGAGGGGGAACAATCCTTTTTACAGCCCTTGTGAGTGAGTCAGACCTAATTCATCTCCACTTCTGACGTTCCTAAGCCTTGAAACTCTTCTGAAATGTTTGGTTCTCTTTGCTTCAGGCTATTTTTTTATTCTCTCTTTCTCTTTCTTGCTTTTTGGTAAGGACAGCAGCAATGTTCTCCTCCCACCCCCGTATCTCTGAAATAATTTGTTTCACATTTATTTGTGTTAAGCCCTTGGGAGCTTGAAATTTGAAATCTGCTACCTCCTTCCCTAAGAAATGTGTGTTCCTTCAGCATGCTTTCACTGGCTGGCTGTAGGGCTGTAGCTCACGAATGCTTAATGGCGCACAGACTCTGCAAACAGATGTAAGAGGCAGGTCAATGAGGCCTCTCAGAGACATTGACCCTTAAAGAGGTCATATAAATCAGACCCTTTCACAAAAATGGGAGTCTGGGTATCCTCATTCAATTCCAATTTGGGTAACTACATTCTACCTTCCTCTAAATTCCCTTTCTAAAATGTGGTGTAATGCTGCTGTGGACAGCTAGATAGTGGCTGTGCTCTTCCATGAAGAGAGGGAGCTGAAATCATTTTTGTACATGTCTGGGCTAAGGGTCTCTCTATTAGAATCTATTGCAGGCAAGAAGAGGTGGGACCCCAGGCTGCTCAAAGAAGCTGGCTGCACCATGTGCTTCTCTACACCACATGCTGGGGGAGTAGAAGGGGGTTGGACTCTGCTCCCATCCCCAGCACGATCTCTCAGATGGCCAAAGGGAACTAAGATAGTGCTGGGGGTGGGGGTAGAGTATGAAGCTCCGCCCCCTCCGGCACGTGATACAGAGAGGAATATTGAGCAGCCAGCCACTTTGAACAGCTTAGAGCTACTCCCTGTTTGAGGGTCCCAGCAGCTTGGGTCACAGGACAGATTCAAAGGCTTGGCAGGCTGGATCTGGCTCATGGGCTGGATTTTGGCTGCCCCTGTTCTAACCCAACCCCCCTTTCTCCCCAAAACATGGCAGAAAATGGCAGTGGCAGCAATAAAAAGATTGGCTCTTGTCGCTGTACAGGTGGCCAGAAGCGGTGTGAGAGGGAGAGGAACCACGGCAACACATGCACTGAGGGGCAGTTGTGATCTGGTGTTGTGTTTGTGGGTGTGTGATTTGTTTTGAAACCCCCCCATCCCACTGCAATCATGCTTTTTAACCAAGAGGATCTTAGGCTGGGTTTTCCCGGTCAGCATTCCAGCCTTTCCCATCTCCTACGTTCTGCTCCAGGAGTCTGGCATGAAATACAAGGATGGGCTCTATCTCATGCAACATTATGCAGGCTGAACTTACATGTGTGGCGTGGATCCTGTCGAACGTGGGCGGATGGCAAAGAGAAAAAATGAATGTGAGTTGCCCTTTAAACTTGCCTCTAGCAATACAGTGTGGGCACTCGTCGTCCATTCGTTTGCCTTTTCGCAGCAGTCATGGGTCGTGTCACCAATGAGCCTATGAACGGTAACATCCAGCAAGGCTACTTTGTGTCCATTTCCTAGCAAGCCTTCAATGTGCTCATAGATCCCAGTCATTTAATATTCATGAAGAAATTCTCAAACCGACAGTGGCTGCTAGGAAGCAGCATCCACTAGACCAAACAAAAAGCCTAAAAGTCGGGGGACCTGGTCTGTGCTAAAAGGACACACTCTCCTTTAGCAGCGATGGAAATCTTTACAAGCATTCTAACCTACAGTCGAGTTTGAAAGTAAAGGACCTAAGGATAAGAGGAGATGTCTGATATCCAATCCAATGACATGCCCGACTTCTGCTACTGATATTTTCATGTATGCATTAGAAAAAGAATCAAAAATCATTCCAGATGGAAGGTTCAGTTAAAGGCGCGATCACCGCAGGACACGTAGATTAATGTGTCAGTCACCCATATTTCGTTAACTGCTTTTTACATATGCCCTTTGCTACAGCCATCTATCATACACGTAATGATTGAAGGGGGGGTTAACCCAGCTTCCGAGTTAGAGTCCCACATGGTTAATTATGTTCTGCCCACATAGAAAGTATCCTGCAGGCTTAGTCTGGCATGGCTTTCCTTTTCTTGAGCTAGTGATATGTATCACCTTGTTAAACAATTGCCACAGTTTGCTGCAGAAGGAGTTGCACTTATATGTAGAAGATGACTTTTTTATTAGTATTTAGGACAGGGGTGGGCAAGATATTGCCCGTGGACTGCATCCGGCCCATGGCCTGCCCTGCCGAGTCTTCACCCCCTGGCTAATCAAGACCCAGGGGCAGGGGAGAGTGCAAAGTCTCCTCCCCCTCCCAGAGGTGAGTGGTGCCAAAGGGAACAGCCAGCAGTTCAAAATGGCTAGTGGTTCCCTCTAGGCGTTGCATGCACCTCTGCTGGGTGAGGGCAGGAGACTTTGTGCACTCCCCCACCTTCAGGCCAGTCAAGATCTGGAGACGGGGGAGCATGCAAAGTCTCCTCCCCCTGCATGTGGTCCTAGAGGGAGCCTCCCTTCCTCCCATGGCCCCGCCCCTTCCATCTACGCCCCCCACCTCACCCTCTCCAGGGCTGGCCTGCGACTACTATCCATATTGGTGAACTGTCCCGCTTACAAAAATTATTGCCCACCCTGACTTAGAATAATAGCGCTCCTTGGTACAAATAGCCTGCCAATGTACCATGGTAATTCCCACTAGGGGAAACTACATTATAAGATATGAAGCTTCCTTTAGACAGTGTGTAGTTACTCAGAGACACCGTGACCATTGCCAGTGATAGCATCTGAGTCCAGAGGAAGGAGAGATTGCAAGTCTAAAGTGAAAGGAAAGTTACCCAATACCCTGCATTTCTGGCATAGTAACATCTCATATTTTTGAAACACCTCTTATCCCAAATCACCTTAAATTGCAGCAAATTGCTAGATGGGAGATAGGAATCGCCCACCAATGACATACTGGCTGAAACACGACATCTGTTTAATAGCACACACTGGTTCTGCATAACCATTTAGGGCATGAACAGAGTGTGATCCCTAAGCTAACCTGTAGGAGAATTGTTGGTAATCGAAAAATAATTATGTTGTCCAAGACAGTTGACTTATTACGTTTACCCTTAATTAGTGGCAGCAAGTATTTGGGGTCATGACTTTTACATCTCATACAAAGATTTCTAATGTGATTCTAGGATATAGGCTTATTTTTAAATCACTCTTACCACTTCCCATGTATTAGAAAACACGTAAGTTATGCATTTATTATAATGAGATGGTTTTAGACTTGTACATTGTAACAACAACTACGTAGGTACATGAGAGATGGGTGATAACATTTCTAAGTGCACATCTTCTAAAGGCACTTCCTAGAAAGAGATTCAATTCGGAAACTGTGGGTATCTTGTATTTATCTAGGCACTGTTTTCTGCCACTTCTTTATGAAATTGTTACAACCTTGCAACCTCATAACATTTCTTCTCCCCAAAAATAGCTTCTAAAAATATTTAGACATCCATGTTGTTCTGCGGTGTGCAATCAACATCAATAAAACATGAGTGAAGCAGGATCTAGATATCTTTACATCCCGACAGTACTTGCTAGAATTTTTTTTAACTGATTTCAAGAAACGAGAGAAAATTAAAACAATGGGTGGATTGGAAGGACTGACCTAGGAGTAATGATTTAAAGGACTTGAATATGTATTTTAAGCCTGGCTGATAACACTGTCTACTGGTAAGGTGTCAGACACTTCCCATTATTGGCACGGTGGTCTGAAGTAGATGACTTCCTGTGGTTCCCTCCAGCCTTGTATGTCTATAATTCTATAAAACCCTGCTTTAAGTTGATTATAACTTTGCTCAACTTGAGCCATTTCCATGCAAAGAGTCTGCCTCAGCCTACATCATCATCATTGCCCTTCACGCCCACCAGCATATAGGGCAGCTACAACGGACTCCACTTCTCTCTGTCTCTGGCCAGCCTCTCAATAGTGCCCCAAGTGTGATTCACGCTCTTTATTTCTACTTCAACAGTCTGGCGCCATGTTGTCTTGAGTCATTCTCGTTTCTGCCTCTCTTCAGGGGTCCAGCGCACAGCAATCTTTGTGATGGAGCTTCCATCTTCCCTGAGCACGTGCCCAATCCATCTCCAGAATCTTTTCACAATGATGGTAACCATGTCATCTTGTTTGCATCCCGCAAGCAGGTCCTGATTTGAAATTATTCTTGGCCAAAAATACGGAGGATCCTCCAAAGACTTCTGGTGTGAAAAGTCGACAATTTATCGAGGTTGTACTCTGTCATCTGCCGGCATTCTGATCCATAAAATAGTGATCATAAAACACAGCTCTGATAAAACTTCAGTTTGGTATGGATGCTGTACTATGATGACTTCCATACGGCATTCAGACTCATGAAGACATTTCTGGCTTTACTGAGTCTACTCCGAATATCTCTTCTGACGCCTCCATCTTGCCTGATAATACTACCCAAGTATGTAAAGCTCTCTGCGATAGGTAGGTCGTGGCCATCGATCTTAACTGCTGCCGGTGCCTCAATGTTTAGGGTAAGCCTAAATAGTTGGGCTATTTTCAGGAAGGAGGCTAGGTCAAAATAGTGTTTTGACCATATTAAAAAAATTCTGGTGGTATTTTCTTTGAAAAGCTCTAGTGCCCTAGTGGAGCCATGTCTTGAAATGTGACACGTGGTGGCCATTGTACCAGGGAAATGTGTTTTGCCCTCCCCA